CTAATGTCTGTGCCCAGTGAAACACAGAGAAATACAAGAGCTGCTGCTTCTTGAGATTTGTATATCTGTGCTTGTGAGCTGTAGGGCTGGTTTATTTGAGAACCATCAGCTTTACAGAGAATCTTTGTTGCTGTAACAAATCCAAGCACCAGACCCACAGAATTTAACGTGTCTCTGTTCAAAAGTGCTATGATTTTATGAAAAACATTACTTTTCTGGGTGAACTGCACCATATCAGTTTACTCTCATGGCTCATTTGGGGTGTGATTGACAGCTAATGTATCTACAGACATCAGTTAACATTATCTGGAATTAATTAACTTGCTGAGCTATTACTAACTCTGTAGGTCTCACTGCATGAGGTATGACAGGGGCTGTAAACATAAGTGTCCTCAGCCGTATATTTCCAGATTATTAAATGCAGAGCACCTGAAGCCTTGCTGAGAAGCTAGAGAACATCTATTTCAGTAGCAAAGCGGATGCCAAGATCTCATTGGCAGCCTACCTTACCGTGGAAACTTCTACTGACAGTAACATGCAAGGAAAAAAAGCATTTCCTCCTCAAAGAGGTCAGGATAAAAAAGGCAGAGTTGGCAAGTAGATAAAAATGCTGAATGTACTTAATTTGAAATCAGTTAGGAACAGAAACATGAAAGCGAACCAGACCAATCTACCTGCAGTTTTCAAGGCAACAAAAGAATGATGGGAATTCTTGAAAGGTGAAGCAACTGGTTTTTTCACTATGAGTTCTCTGGTTAGCCTTGATGCTTCCAAGTGCACCCCTTGCTGGATCTACAAATTAGAGACAACACTTCCTTTTCAAGGTTTATGCCTGGCATGCTTTATTACCATCTTTTGATCGAGAGCTAAATACTGAAAGCTCAAGTCTTTTTTCCCCCTTAAGCTTTGGTTTGGCTACAGGTCTGTGAGATTATAATCCTGTCTTTCCCAGGTGAAGTTCTTCAGATATTAAACTGAATATATATAAAAAATGAGCTTTGTTTTTCTCTGTTAGGCATCATGTGCATGTGAGTGACAATCCCCCCAAGTGCACATGAGATATAATAAGCTTCCTTGTTGACTCTTACCTTTCTTTCAAGAGGAATTCAGACAATTAACTGGCTCCCATTACAGATTCATTCCTAATCTCACCCATATAACAACTTTTGAAACCTGATTATTTTTCTGCCTTTAGGATAATGAATTTTGTGCCCCTGTGTAAATGTTCTATTGGTGGGGAAAAAAAAAAGGCAGCTCAGTATACTTTTGATTTTTCTTGGGGCGCATTTGAGCAAATGTTTTGTTTGAAGGTGTTTCTAATTACCTATTTGTTAATATATAAGTGCTCATTTCAAATATGTGAGATAATTTTGGATTTTCTTCCTTGAAGAATTCCACCCTACTTTCTGTTGTCATGAGAGAGTGAATTAAATTCCAGGTGGAATCCCATCATGTGTGGATTATAATTACTAGTCATGTAGAATTAATTAATTTCCATTGTGGCATTACAATTTGTAGACTGTCCCATAAAACTGGAGGCAGTTTCCTGTCCTAAAGAAATTTCAACTTAAATATAAAGTAAGAGCTGAATACTGCAGAGATATTACCCTGTGGTACTGAGGAAAGACACTACAGCTGGTTTTAGGGAGCAATCACTAAGCAGCATATATCCAAACATTATAAATGTTTTCTTAGACATCAGGGCAATAGTGGGTTTGCAGGCTTTTTTTGAGTGGTACATCTCAGTGTGCTTACTGAAAAATTGGACAAGTGGGCTCAGGTTGAGGCTCACGTCAAAAGAGGCAGGAGCCATTTTTCTTGCTCATAGTGTCAGAGTGAAAATGGGTGAGAAGGCAAGTAGAAAGACTTTCAAAGTGGAGCTATGTAGTTATGCTCTAATTCCTTCCTCATGTTTACTGAACTGGGAGAAAGTTCTGTTCCTGTGCTGGTGAAAGCTACAATTGTGGCAGATCTGCTATTGATTTTATTCATTTTTGCCTCAATATTTAGGAAGTGGCACTTGGCACTCAATGCATTTTATATTTTCAAAGAGTTCTGAAGAAAGCTGCTTATTTTATAATAGCTGTAAAGAGAGTCAAATATACAGCTCCCTGAACTGTTTGGTGGTCTGTTAGGTGGAGTAAGAAAAACAACATAAGATCACAGGTGGACAAATAAAAACAGAATGTGCAAAAACTGTAGTACCCTGTGTCAACTAATAATACCAAGGCTGTGCATTCAGTGCCCTTACAGACCACTCATTTAAGAGTTGAACTTGATGATTCTGGTGGGTCCCTTTCAACTCAGAATATTCTGCAACCTGTGACTTGTGATTGTATCTGCAAAAGAAACACAGTACACTCAATGTTGATTACAGTATCTCAAGACCCTTCTGGGGTCTTCTTTTTTATCTGCCCTGTACAAGGAAGATTTATATTAGAGATCCTGAAGTTATTCTGATGTTTTGTGAAAAAAAATGTCTGGGGGACAGTAGCAAAAAACACTTTTCCAAACTTATTCAAATGCTTTCTGTGTCCTAAGGATGTTTTTCTGTGAGTTGTCTTAAGGAGAAATGGTAGCAATTTCCTAGACAAACCTGCATTTACTAATCTACAGAATGGTTATTTTTGAATAAAGGTTTGAATTAGCTGAAGAGTCGCAAGTGTAAAATATTTTTTGCATATTAATTGAAACCCAAAGCTTTAGCATTTAGGGACTTGATCCACAAATACCATGAATGTAGAGCTTATAATTGAAACTCATGCATGAAAATATTGTTTGCTTACAGTAAAAAGTACTGTGCTAAATGCAGTGTCACAGGATCAGTTCTCTCTCTGTTAAAAATGGTATACACAAGTCACATTAAAGGTACCTTGATATTTTTGTTGTCTTTTTCTCTGTCTTGTCTTTTCTGCAGATTTCTTTCCATTCTCATTGTAGTTCATGCCTCTGACATTGGCATATGTCTTTGAAACATAAAACAGCACATGGTCCCAGAGCTGAGACTTTCTCCATCATGACTCTCAAGCAGAGACCTGTGAACAGTTACTCAAAGTAGCCTCACAAAAAGCAGTGCCTGGAGGCACATGTTTAAATGTTTTTATTATCCCAGTAGGCATAAGGCATAGGAATTTTTGAGCAGGATCAACCTGGAAAAATTTCCAAAGAACCACAGGTGCTTCTCTGTTAAGGAGTCCCCTCTATGCAACATGGATTAGGAGCAGTTTTAAAACTGGTTTGCTTGCCTGAGCAATGCCTAAAGTTATGCTAGATCAGAAAGAGTGTGTCAGGAAAATGAGCTCACAGTGGGGAGCTAAAGTCTCTTCAGCCATCCATGTAAGTTCCTCTTGCCTGGGTCCCTTGGGATATGGTGTCCCAAGGGAATAGTTAGCTGACTTGCCAAAGTAGAGGGCCTGCTAGTGTTCACCCTGTGCAGTTTACCCTGTAAGCCTCTACACCAAATAGGAGCATAAAGGAGTAGGGTATGAAATGCACCTTTCAGTGGGAAGTGTGGTGGTGGCTCACTGGGACATAGTACTGAGTTTTGGTTGTTTAACTACAAGGTAGTGGGAAGAAGGAGGTGGTAGGAAGGAAACTTCTGGCTTCTGCAAAAAGAGACAAATGATCATAAGTAGAAGAAATGGGGCATAATCCAGGCTATATGATTATATTTTCACAGTATCCACTGTGCAAGCATATTTAGTGCTTACAATTTTGACTGCTTTTTACAATGTGCAGTTGTTTTTAAGCATAGGTTTTTTCCAGTTTTTTTAATCTTTTTAACAGCCCACAAGTTTGAAATAGGATGCTCTTTTTAGGATTAGCATGTGGACGATAATCTTGTTTCCCTGTCTCAATCCATTTTAGAGTTAAATGTGTCTTGTTAAAGTGCTAACAGTTACCTATCCTTGTGCGTTGGCTAGCTCTACTAAAAAAGCTTTTCTACTCAAGGATTTGATGGGTGACTTGAGTGGCAGAGTTGCAACTTGAGTTGCTGCTGTTACTGCCCTGGGCATGGAGAAACTACATCTGCCAGGAGTACTTTCCAAATGTGATGCTGCTTCCAAGTAGGAGAAGAATAGCAGGGAGGCATGCATCCTACACAGAAGAACAAATGAAAGGGAGAGAAAATAAGTTTAACATTTCTTCTCAGTTCATTCAAGCAAAATAAAGGCACAGTTCTTCCTTACATGTCTAAGTGTGTGGTCTTACAGCATCATCAAAGGGAACACACAGGATTCAAAATAATTGAGAGAATCAAACAGCTCTGTTAGGGAAAAAAAAATAAAAATATGGACAATAATGAAATGTGTTTTCCTTCTCAGAACCAGACCACCACTATGTTTATAAAAGGATCTGAAGCACATCCATATTCAGACATTTTCAGACTGTACCTGACATTCCCAGTACACCGGCACTGGCTACCCAAACTCCATCCGTGGGCCTTGCCTGCCAATGACCCAGTGTTAAAACAAATCATATGAAGAGACAGGAAGATTAAGCAAGCATTTACCAGCCTGTCTCTGACAGTTGTATTAGTATCTTCGTGTCTTGAACGTAATTTGAAGAACGTGAAAACTTCATCATCTCTACTCTGCTTTAAAAATGGCATCAAAATACACCACATATTTCTACCTCAGAAAAATGGAAAGTCACAAATATTCGAAGTACGTAGGAAAGGAAAATCCAGATTATTGTTTAGAACTCCTAATGACTGTCATTAGCAATTAAAAAAGGAATATGAGAAAAAACTTACTAATTGTGAGATATTTTATAATGTTGGAAAGTTTTGGGGGATGTAACAGAAACTACATAATGTGAAGCATTTAAAATTTGCCAAACCAAGGTATTCAGAAACAGACATACAATACAAAATATTTCTATTTTGTTGGGGTTCAACTGGTTATCTGCTCTCTATTTATAAAGGTCTCTTTTTGAGAAAAAAAAAGAAATTAAATACAATTATACACCCAAAATATCTGTCTCGTTTTATTTTTCAGCACAAATTGAAGTGATACCATGCAAAATTTGTGGTGATAAATCCTCTGGAATACACTATGGAGTCATCACATGTGAAGGCTGCAAGGTATGAGATTTTAATACAGCATAGTCATCATCATTTGCATTAGCCTCAGGCACCTGTGTACAATGATATACTCTTACAAGCTTTCAAGCAAGTGGTTCCAAAGGCTGCAAAACCTACTGCTGATAAAGATGCACTTCATGCCTAATTTTTCTAGTTGCTTTCCATTTTATCAAATAGTCTTTAGAGCTACCTCCTTGTTTGAAACATGAATTAATTACATCTGATGCAGTGTAAGTGCTGACACCAACAGAGGCTGGCAACTGTAAGCCACACCTGTTCTACCTTAAATCAGCTTTGAAAGAGGTGGATTTCTTATCTTGTTTCCTATACAACCCGTGTAGCATTACAGTTGGCATGTTACTTCTGGTCAGCCTTTTTTTAAGAGCTTAGAGGTGTGAGTTTGGTCGTTTTTTATCTCCTTCTGCACAATCTGCAGACCAAATTGTAATCTCCAAAAGAAAGAATTCCTCTACATTATGAGCAGTGTAAAAGGGTCCTTTGTCATCTTCTTCATAGGCTTTAGTGCTGGGGCAATTGCTGGGAACTGTAGGTTAAAGAAAAAGGGCAGATGGGGAGATGTATAGACTTGCTTCTTAGACATATCAACGTATTATCTCAGGCACTACTTCAAATGGCACAAACCAAACCCAAGCAAAGAGAAGAAAGGCTTCAATTTTCAATTTTAAAAATTGTCTGTGATTTTATTATATAAGTAATTACATTATTATTCATGACAAATCAGAATCTCATACTACACGTTGGTTTTTCAGTTTTAATTGTAAATGGGAAATTGCAAAGATTGCAAAGGAGAGGCGACATCTCTGATTTCTTGTATGTGGAAACACACAAACTGTCGTGCTTGAAAATGGGTGCCTATTTGAAGAGTGAAATCATAAGTCTGTTCCTAATGCTTTACAAAGTATTAGAACAGCTGAAAAATCTGAAAATTTGGGTGCACCCATTTGCAAAAGAAGTATTTTAATGTCAGTTTCATTGAGAACTAATATAGTGGTAAAGATTGGGGGGAGATTTCAGGAGCATTAACAATTGTGAGCAGAACAATTTGCAGTGTGTCTTTGTCTTAATGTGGCACTGGACTAGAAATAACCATCTTCTTATGACAACCACATGAAACAGGATTAAACTAATTGATCTGATACTTCCAAAATTGGCACAAAAGCTACAGTAGAAAACTACTTTAAGCAGAAAAAAAGCATATTTTCTCAGAGCCCACAGACTGTCTAGGGGTATAGTCTTCCCTAGAAGTAATTAGGGTTAATGCTGGCCCTTGTGTGTGCCTCAAGAGGAGATGATACCACTGTGGCTCTGTGAGTAGACTGCTTATTGAGATAAAGAGATTCTCTTCCACTTATAACAGTTTTAACCCTGTTGGGTTTGTGCCAGTTTTGCTGTATCAGATCAATTAGTCTAATCTTGTTTTGTGAGCCTGTGTGAAAAAAGGGTGTCAGTTTTTCACATCATTTCCACTGGGAGGCATCTCAGTCTGTCAGAGTTCCCTGTTAAGTTCTGGCAGTGCAGCTCTGCTATCCATTTAAGCATTTCAAATTTCCCAGCATTTAAATAGCTCTTCACTCGGCCTGCATACTGGTAATTTCTGGCTCTTTTTGTCTCAGTTTGTTGGAAACCTGCAATGATTAAGAATGGAGGCCATGCATGGAAGACAGAGGTTAGAATCACTCCACAAGCATGCACACATGTTGAGCCAGGCACCAGGCAGCCACAGCATTTCAGGATACAGAATCCAAGACTTACAGTGCCAGTGGCAGTGCTACAAACTTCAAGGAACAGAAAATCCTTTAATTCAGTGTGCCTACATTAGCTATGCTGCTGCAAATCCAAATTCTAAGTGCTTAAGAGTCGTCTGAAACATTACTGTTGGTTTGTATGCATGCCTGCCTTATGCTGAACGTGCATATGCCATGGACCTGCTGGACCCACTAAGTCTGCAGCTCTGACACTATTCTTATGGAAAGAGTGAGTGAGAAGACCTGAAGATGAGTTCATATCACATCTATCTCTGCAGCTCCTTCTTCACTAGGAAGCCTTTTATTCTTTCTCGTGCCTACCCCCAAAACAAAGTGCTTTGTACCACTGTTTTATCATGAATTAGAAAGTAGTTCTTTCAGTGATTTCCTTTCTCAGACTGGCTGTTGGTGGTGGGTGAAGTGATTTGTTCAAGAAAGACTTATTGTCCATGTTGGAAGTACTGGGAAATCAGCATTTAACTCCATAGCTCCTCAGTAATGAAATACATCTTCCTTCCACATAAATGGAATTATTCTGATGTAGAATAATGTATCCAAATCTATATAAAGATACCATAAAAATAAAATCAATGGATTATCTCTAGTTTATAAGACAACATTTAGATTTTATGCGGGAGAATGAGAACATAAAATTCTCCTCCAAAAAATTAATTACCTGCTGTAAATCAATTTTCTTATGTAACCCTTGATACATAATATGGTCCTTTTTTCCTGAGGATGGTGAAGATGAAACAAATTCCTCTGAGATGAGATCAACCTTAAAGAGAACAAAAAGTACTGCAGGAGAAGGCATTGTCAATGCTAAATGATTGTGTGTGTTTTTTTAACATTACTGAATTAATTTGTTCTCTGAAATAGAGATTAGCAGCATGGATGCTGCTAAAATCTAAAACTGAAAACAGAAAACCCTTCACAAGTCAAAACCAAGACTAGCTATAACATTCAGCAGAGGCATCTACAATTAGCATCCATTTAGTCTTAAATTAAAGGCACCTCTACTATATCTGGGAAGTTTTGCTCAGCTAAGATCAGTTAAGTTTCCACCAATAGTTTTCAGAGAGTTCCCCCCAAAGGGCACCTATTTTTCTTAAAAGTACAAATCGTAAACTTTAATTTCTATTTTGGATAAACTGTAATCCCTTCACTTCACTTCATGTGCTTCATGTCACTTCTACCATAACTGGTAGAAGTGGCCCATTGGTGCCACCTCATAGCGGCTGGAAGCTCATAAGGACTTCGGTGTATGTACTTCCCCTCTAGCCCTCAGCCTGTGGAAAATGCCATTGCATTCTCATGGTAGTATCTAAAGGTGTTGCTTTCTCCTTTGTATGTTGGCTTTATTTGATACAGTCATTATATCCTGGTGCTTTTGTAAAGACTGAATTTTAATTACTTCACTCCTGAATCATATGCCTCTCCAGATCAGATCAACATTTGCCAAGTTGAAGTCTTGCAGAACAGCAGACTTCAGCTTCTCATGCTATGTGTACACACTAACAGCTACCAGTCTCTTCATTAAAGGGAGAAATGTCAAAACAAGTACTTTGAAGTCGTCTCTTACAAACGCTGATGAGTTTTTCCTCTATTAGGATGAAGTATTAGACAATACAGGGTCATTACTGCACAATAAAAATGCATTCTGTGACATTATTTAGGCTTTAACAAAGTAGAATTATATTCTTTACAGAATACACAGAATACCTTATTATAATTAAATGTTCTTTACTACAATACCATCATACCTGCAGAGCCACAGCATAAGAAGCACTGCACTAAATAAGAGTTTTCTGCAATTGTTTGCATGCTTCTGTCTGTGTGTGTGTCCACATGCGTGCACACGCACATAAATGTGCTCGTGGTAACACTTGGTCTTTCCTGCTCTCTTGCCCCAAGGGATTTTTTCGGAGGAGTCAGCAGAACAATGCATCCTACTCCTGTCCAAGACAGAGAAACTGTTTAATTGACAGAACCAACAGAAATCGTTGCCAACACTGCCGACTGCAGAAATGTCTTGCCCTGGGAATGTCTCGAGATGGTAAGGAGTCAAATTCCTGCTTCACATCTAAGCCCTTTGAAATTTTTCTTCACTGCTGACTTACTTAAACTCCCTGTAGATTTCTGCAAAGAGAGAGAGGAGAAGCTCCGTGCTTTGTAATGCATGCACTGTGAGGCGATCTTTGCCATCCGGTTAACAAAGAAGGCTATTTTCACGGGGAGGGGTGGGGAAAAACCACAAAATGGAGAGCAGTATTAGTTTAGAACAGAAAGAATACGTTATTCCAATCAAAAGCACAGAGCACAAAAAGGTCACCTCTGGAGAGGTGGGTTTATATTAAACATTACATTAAACATCAGCGTTTATCTTAACATTTAATATCGGTGTGTGAAAGCATCCATTTCCCTGAGATCTCTAAAGGTCTGGTAGTAAGGAGGTGCAACCCAACAGAAATTTACACCTTGATAGCATTGTGTTTCTGATTGTTTTATTCAGAGCTCGGCCAAATATAGTGCATTGGAAGTAACCCCATTTCTTTTACTTGCATGCTGCCTCCTCTCCCTATCTGGGTCTATAGAACTTCTCCTAATTTAGTACTGAAAATGCTAAAACTCTTCACAATGTATGTCATCTCAGGATCCTGTGGTCCTTGTAGAGCTCTGGTCCACCTTCCAGATTGTAGTGTGATCAGCCAAGATCAGCAGGCTGAGAGCACGCATCACACCAAAACTGCAGACCATGGGAAGGTTGGGCAAGAAGTGCCCTAGGCACCACTCCTTGTGCAGGGAGTTTCCAGCTCAAAAACATGTTTTATATAGTAAGAAAGTATTAGAAGAAAATGTTCTGTCTTTTAAAAGCTGTTTATACTAATTTCATTTTCCTGAAAGCAGTTTTCTCTCCTAAAAGGTTTACACAAAAAGTGTATTTTGAAATTAAGTTATCAACGGAGAAGTTGCTTAAAGAGCTATTTATTTAGACAGTCCACAGGCTATAAACTTGTATGAAATTTGGACCATAATAGGTCTTCTTCTACCTCAGTGTGTCTTATGTCTCACTGAAATTGTTTACCACTCTCACCAATCTGGGAGGGGCCTTGCAATCTGGCCTTTAATCCATTAATTCTTTTTGGTCCTAGCATCCAGTTTACTTGACACCTTAGCTCCTTCATGGTGATTAAAGAAGTAACATTTCAGCAATTTAACAGCACATGCTTTCCTCCTGAAAGTAGTATCTTCCAATGATGTAAGGTATCACAGGAGCATTTTAATGAGACTGACAGTGCCATCTTCCCAACCAGTAATTCAGAGACCACTGCAGAGAGACAAAATGAGTGATTCTTCCAACAGTATCACTTTGTTTTCTCATAGATTATGGAAGGGTCTTTATGATTGCTTAGGATTAAGAATATTAAGAGCTCTTGCAAATTTACAATTGACTGTGTGAATTTTTTTACAAAAAACTTTAGTTTGATTTTTACCTCTCAGCCATGTAATAAATTCATTTTTATCATGAAGAGGCAGGATCCTAATTGACAGCAGCTGGAGAATCCAATTAAGGAATATATAATGAGAATAAACAGTGGATATTTGGTTTTACTACTGAGGTCCTAAATTTGAAGAATATTGTTCATAAGGGTATGCAGCATACCATGCACTGATTCCAGGGGCAGGCTGGGCATTACTGAGTTTGTGAGTTTGTGTGAAGTAGCTTGTAGCCTGAGTGTAAGGCTGCAGCTAAAATGAGGTTGACAATAAGAAAAAAACCCTCTTGGTGTAAAATAAATAAATAAATAAATAAATAAAGCAGATGTCACCTTGTTGTTCTGGCACTGTATTTTCATATTATGCTCTATTTTTTCTGTTCTTTTGCCTGATGGAAGAATTTCACGTTTGTCCACACACAGGTTCAAACCCTTCTCAAGGGCTAAATGAGAGCCCCTTGCTAATAAATATGATTCTGAATTGATCCAAATTTCAGATGGACTGGAAATACACAGTATAGAAAATACACCTCATAATACGTAGAAGTCTCTGTTTCTGGAGCTATGTCACCTTGCCTGTTCTGATGAACTCTGCTGAATGTATCTCCCATTCGTTTTAGAGCACAATCAACAACTACCCCTGCTCTAAGACACCAAGATCTAGCCCACTAGAAGGCCAGAATTTGTACAAAGATAAGGTTGGAGAGTGATAATCAGCTGTGATCTACTGTATATACTGGCTGTGGATTTACTCCTAGTTCCACAGCAATCAGCCTGTCACCTTTGAACATTTCAGTCTCACTGTAATGAACCCTATTTCTGGGGAAAATGGTTTGCCCTCTTATATTTTCCTCCCTTTCTTAACATGTTAAGTGCATGGATTTGTGCATGCAGATTATTAAAATGGAGATTGCATAAATCCCTAAGACTTTGCTCAGTGGAAAAGATGACATTCATTTGTGCTGTTTACCTTCAAATTTGTTATTTTCCTCTAGGTTCTAACCTGTAAGATTACTTTTTTTTTTAAAATAGGAAGATAACACCCCATTGAAAGGATGTGATAATAAGGCTTTAGGGCTTGTTTTCACCCAGAATGCTAATCTTGTTACTGTACTGTGTAAAGGTTTGTGTGAAGTTAGTAAATGGATATGAAATTACAGACTGTACATTTCATACAGCTCTGGGTTGTTGTTCAGTGAACACAGAGTTATAAAAGAATGCATGGTCTTTTTAACATTCAGAGTTGGAAGTGAATTGTTTGACTGAGGCCCTCCTGTCAAATAGGAGTCACTGTTGTCACCTGGAAAATTCAAGTACGCAGTATTTTTTCTTTTATGAGATGTATGTGATGTAAAGCTTTGCATCCTTTCTCATTTCCACAGAAGAAATATGTTTCCACAGCAAAATTAACCCTGAAAGTTAATATCGGAAGAGTGGTGGGGTTGAGGGGGAATCAAAAAAAATTTAAAGACAACGGTTTGCATTGTGTTTTGCTTTTCAGCTGTGAAATTTGGAAGAATGTCCAAAAAGCAGAGGGATAGCTTATATGCTGAAGTGCAGAAGCACCAGCAGCGACTGCAGGAACAGCGGCAGCAGCAGAGTGGTGAGGCAGAAGCCCTCGCCAGGGTTTACAGCAGCAGCATCAGCAATGGCTTGAACAATCTGAATAACGAAACTGGCAGCACCTACTCAAACGGGCACGTCATCGATCTGCCGAAGTCTGAGGGCTATTACAACGTGGATTCTGCCCAGCCCTCCCCAGACCAGTCTGGGTTAGACATGACTGGAATCAAACAGATAAAGCAGGAACCTATCTATGACCTCACCTCTGTACCAAACTTGTTTACCTATAGCTCTTTCAACAACGGGCAATTAGCTCCAGGGATATCCATGAGTGAAATCGGTAAGGAAAATCCTTATTCCTGTAGTGCAATGTGTATATATAAGCTGTGCTCCAGTACTGTCTTCATTAAAATGTCATGCAGGCATTCCGTACACAGGTACACAATAGTTACATGTTCACACATGTGTGTGTGCACACACATACGGAGAGTAAAGGAAAGAAAATCAGTCTGGAACTAATTGACATAATATTAAGGCAGCTCTGTTTTTACTAAAAATTATGCAGTTCTTAAACCCAGCAGTTCCTTTCTGTTTATTAAATAGGAGTATCAAAGCAGGTGATGAATCAGTCATAACCAAGTGATAATTAGGAAGGGGCTTGTTTCAAATGAGCTCATTATTGGCAGGGTTAAATGATCTCTTCAGCCAACCATCCATATTCTTGTCAACACCCAGAATCCCCATAGCAGCTAATTCTAGGGTACTTAACTGTGAAAAAGTACCAGTTCATACCTTGGCTGCACAGATGTCAATGCCAGAGCAAGCTCACTAAATTCATAAAGTGCACAAATACTGAATGTGTTTCTCTGGATATCCCTGATTCTTTGAAGGCCTTGGAGAACCTGTCCCATGCTTTTGTCTTTGACAAGTGAGAGAGACCTCTCTGTGAGGTGAGAGTGTTTGAAACACAATGACAAACAGTGATTTTTGGCTAAGGAGGATTTCTGTTCGTCTAGTTCTTGTAGTTGTATTTCACCAAAGCCACTGGAAGTACTGCTTATTTACAAAGAAATAACATGAGTAAAGATTGGCATCCTAATTAGGTACCTGAAGAAGTGAAATATGCTGAATCAGTTGTGGCTGAGAACTTAATCAAAGGGTAACACTTCGTTAATGGAATTTAATTAAAAAGAAAGAAGAAGGAAAAAAGTCATCTTTGAGAGCACTCCTAACAAATTAATTCATTTGAAATCATGAAAAAAGACTCTGCAGTTCTGGCCTAACTTTGCTCTCTCATGTACATGGATGTACACTGAGATCTGTAAATGTGTGTGCTCAGACCTGCTGAGGACCCTGGAGATGTGGCCTCCACTCAATTTAGATTGCAGCAGTGGGATATATAGTAGTTACTGTCTGGTAAAAAAATGAAGTTGCAGCTAAAATCGATGGGATGTTTTCTGCCCATATGTGCTCATGTGTAGGGGCCTCCATAACATATTGTGTGCTTCAGTTACAAATTGTACAGGAGAAAGTTAAACTTTTCTGCCACTCTGTTTATTAGGACATGGTTTATTATCATAATAATGATAATTAAGCCACTAAGCCACTGTCCAGTAAAATTATGCACCCACTGTGTAGGATTAGAGGTGAACATTTGATCCAAATTCCCTCTCAGCTCTCATGGCCATATGAATATTACTCATATTGTGCATGTGTCTGCATACCTCAGTCCTGCAGCAGTGGATCACACTACTGCAAACCAGTTGAGAGGCAGTTTGAGCAGTCCTAAAGAGCTGTTTCCCTGCAGACCCAGCACCAAAGGGAAGTGTTTCCTCAGAGGAGGTGCAGAAGTGCAGGAGTTCTGATAGTCCATGAATTTGGCTTTGTGCTCAGTTACAGAAATGAGTGCAAAGACAGAATCTAGCCATGGGACTGTATGCTTATTGGCCAGAGAATCCCCCTGAAGCCAATGGGACCTTTTGACTTCAGAGAATCAAAGTTTTATCTTTTTAATTTAAATCAATTTAAGTTTTGTATCTTGCAGATTCACTTAGAAATAATGTGTCATTCTTAGTTTTTCACCCATTTTTTTTCTCTCCGAGCTCTAAACCATCCAGCCCTAAATCCACCCCATATTTCCAAGTTTTTCATCCTCTTCTGAAGCAGACAAAGCAGGAAAAAGCCCAGAGCAGAGGGAGTACTACATAGGAAATGGCCTATCTCTGAGCTGACAGAAAAATTCAGAGGCTCTGGGATTTGCCTCACTTCTTTTTGAAATTGAAACTAGGGCTCCTAAATTGCTACGATTTTGCACAAGTACTGCCTTCTGTCATTTGTGGCACCTACAGCAGAGGGATAAGGGTGACAGTGAGAGATAATGTGGTGTAAGAAATCAGATGACACAACTGGAAGAGGTGCACCCTAAAATATTTGGATTAATGCACAGGAAAATGATGTTTTCAGTGTTTAAAAAGAAGTAGAAAATGCCTCTTAATGCTGCAGTGGATTGTTGGACCATCTGTAGAGCTGCAGTCTTGCAGTCCTTGGATGTACTGATTTCATATTGTAGTGTACTTAAATCTCACTGCAGAATTGCCTCTCACTCCAGTGACATTTAGGAATAAATTCAGCTTATGCTAAATAGACATTACTGCTTTTAACTGTTAGATGAAATCATATGGAATATATAGAAAATAGAAAAGCTATACTACATTGATCCTTGTGGCTGATAGAAATTTCTTTGTACCAACATGTCTAGTGATCTGGTGAACCACTAAGTATCCCAGATCATGATATTTTTTTTCTGCACTGATTATTTTCTACCAGATAGAAACTTCCAGTCTTAGCTTTCTTCAGGCCCTTGCATTCTTCAAATAAATATATGTATATAAGCACAACCTCAGCTGCCACTTGCCTGATCTTGAGTGCAACCATCTTATTTTTTTTCCTCATGAATGAATGTGTGGGAACTTCTTTCATCCTTGAGTTCCTAGAAGTTACTGTAAGCTCTTCAAGGAGCAGACTTCTTCACAAGCACTCAGAACAAAAGTTGTGTATGCAATTTCTGCATTAAATGTCAACCAAAATCTAATTCAATTACTCCTTTGGTGTTAATGCTTTGCTTGTTTCAAACTCATTTCTCTCCTGGGGAGGGCATTTTTAATTAAGATATAGTTGACTGTACACTTCCAAGTCTGAATCTCATTTTCTCTTTCTTGTTTTTCTAATCTTTTCAATCCTGTCAAATTATGTCTCAGTCTTCATCGATGCTTTGTGACTTCTTTCAGTTTAGAATTGTCTCTTAACATAATTAGCATGCTATGAACCTTCCCTTTCAGATTATTATGAAAATGTTAAATGCTTGTAAAACAAGCCCCAATAATGGTCCGTGCTGCACCTGACTAAAATACTTGCTGCAATTGCATATATTACATTTAGTATTTACATTTGGCTTGCTATCCAGCAGTAAGCTTTCTGTAAAATCCAAGTAAAAAGTCTTCCTTCCACTGTCAGTTTGATTCAGTTATAAAAATAATATTTTCTAAGATACTCTATGACATAATTTACATGCTCTTCTTCACATGTTAATTTTCTAGTTCCACCAAAAAGTGATCTAAATGGTTAGAGCTACTTTGATCTTTAACAGTTCTATGCTTTAATTTGAATGTGAAAGTGTTCTTTTTCATGAACATACATTCATCTACAGAAGACTTTGTAGTGGAAATGGAAATTTTTCAATTTAACTGGTTTGAAATGCAAAATTTTTTACACAGCAACTGTTTTGACACATAGTATTAGAATGGAACAGCAAGGAAAATATAGCTTATCTTGTATTGCATGCTTACTGGTATCTATATACTGTGCTAGCAAGTAGGAGCAGGAGAAATACATGCTAACAGATCAAAGTTATACAGGGCTCTGTCACACATACTTAGTATTATTGTATTTCTCCAAATTAGTTAAGTAGACCAAGATACAACCGCACATTATCTGATCTCTATGAGAAGCAGGATAGGCAATATCTCCTATGAAAGAGAGGGTTAACTATAACAAAAAGCATTTTCAGATACGGTCACAAATTTCTCATGTAGCTGTCAGAACTTATGATGAATAGAAGTTGTACAAAATCAGGTAGTTCCCCATTAGGCACAGCCCTCATCAATATTCCACTTCCTGTTACCAAAAAAAAACCTCAAAGCATAAAGACACCACTCCAAAGCCCAGGAATACACATACAGGAGCAGAACCTCAACTTGTCATCAAATGCATTTCCAATTCAGATCCCTTTTCTTTAAAGGAAAGTATTTTTGTCCTTAAGTCAAAGCATCTTGTTGGACACTTGATATAGATTTGAGTGGACAGAACACAAAGTGGGTGAGGTGCAGTGACCAGATGAGTTAGGCAGGCTCTGTCACTGCCTGTCATGGGTGGCATGATTCAGGTGTGTTCCACCAGCCAGTGATGCTGCCAGCATGGGAGACACCCATATCCCAAGGGCTCATGCTGCCAGGGACTTGGCAGCATGATCCTATTTCTCCATGACCACTGTGCCATCTACACATCTAGGAAGGCAGAAATTATGCTGTGGGATCTCAAACCATGGGGTGAAATCTGCTTGCCTTGTCAAAAGCAAGAATTTGGTCATTTGCAGAATGGCTTTTTCCTCACACAGCGCATCACCAGAGGTCAGCTGGTAGGTGGGAAATTCTGAAGTGAAAAGGGAGCTCCAGCTCCCGATGGCAGTGCTTGCTCCCAAGTGTGGGTTTAAATTAGGAGGCACAAAAGGCTTATTTTTAGACTTGGTGAAATTAAAATACTATCTTGTTTAAATATATGTGCATAATATTATCTGCCACTGAGCTGAACACTGCTTTTTATCACTAAATAGGTGGCTCTGGTCTTGGTCTGTAAAAGTTAATGGAGAGGCTTCCCTGCCTTAACTGCAGTTGAGATTGGCAGCCTATGATTTCTTAAGGACAAGATAAAATTACTAGCTAACACTGTTGTGGAGAAAACAGATTGGTTAAGCATTCACTGCAAGTCAAGCTAAAGGGTGCCCTGTAGCTGTGTATATGTAGGTAGTCAGTAAGACCCCTCTAGAGTGTACAGGAGATCACACAGTCCAGCCTCCATAATTACAGATGAAAGTGTTGTTTACATATATTTGCATGACATTTCTTCATCAGGCCTGTATGAAGGTACCCAATGGCTTGGAGAATGGCTTACATTCCTACCAGAATTAAAGAAAGGCGAGCTTAGGTTTGACCTTCCCTTTCCCCAGTCCTTCTAAGCCTGTCTTGCTACATATATCTTAGTGTGGGCAGTAATTCCCTAGGACAG